TATCGTTTGAAATCTTACTTATTCGATAATATCGATTTTATCTTGAAATATTCATGCTTGAGAAAAGTGAGAGACTCCCCTAGTTTTTGAGTGTTTATTTCAATAGTTTGACATTTCATTATATAAAGATCATTATCGATAATGATGACTTGCGTTTCATGAGAGTGTTAGTGAGTCAAGAATGACTGGCAAGTTTTACACATAAAATATAACGTAGCTACCGTAAGCCATAAAGTAATAAATTACACACAAATACAGTAAAAAATTTATCTATGAAAAAATCGGAATATGAACATAAAAAAACTGTTTTTTGGAGATTATATTCATTGTGTCATATAAATAATTCGACAATAAAGGCTTCGGTTCAGTTGTTGATAAGATTTTGGAATGAATAGATCGTGAATTTGTGAAAACATTGTAAAAAATGGCATTAATAAGTGGAAGTTGGAAACTGGACATTTTAACAATTTTGCTGGGTGTGATTACTTTAATTTATTTATTTTTCAAAAGAAAGTATTCATATTGGCAACGAAAGGGATTTAATTCAAATCCAGATATTACCTTCCCATTCGGAAATTTCAAACGGACATTTTTGCAAAAGGAACATTTTGTGGAGTCAATTGATAGAATATATCACGCCACAACGGAACCATTTATTGGAATTTACACAGTGTTTCGTCCGACACTTATGATACGCGATCCTGAACTAATTAGAACGATTTTAATCAAAGATTTCAATCACTTCACTGACCGCGGAATTCATTGTGATGAAGAAAATGATCCATTATCAGCAAACTTGCTAGCATTACCAGGTCAAAAATGGAAACATATGCGAAGCAAACTGACACCAGCATTCTCGTCGGGAAAATTGAAGGCGATGTTTTCTACTCTACTCGATTGTGGTTCAACTTTACAAAATTATTTGGGAAAATTAGCCGAGAATGGTGAAATGTTGGATGTTAGAGAAATATCGGCCTCGCATTCAACAAATGTGATCGCGTCGGTTGCTTTTGGCATCGATGTGGATTGCATCAATGATCCAGATAATAAATTTCGTGTTTGTGGTCGACAAATCTTTGACACTGGCCATTCAAATTCAATTCGCACTCTACTTGGATTTATAGCTCCTCAAATATTAAAATTGTTTCGACTGAAATTCATATCACCCGAAGTGCAATCGTTCATAACATCGATGGTTAAACAGAATCTAGAGTATCGTGAAAAGAATCATATCAGTCGCAAAGACTTCTTTCAGCTGCTCATTCAGTTGCGAAATTCCGGCACAGTGCAGCTAGATGACGAATGGAAAACGATGACGAAGGCTGATGAAAATCAAAAATCACTGACTCTGAATGAAATGTCCGCCCAGACATACTTATTCTTTGCCGCAGGTAGAAATTGAAGGTGAATTTATTTTACAACAGTTACTATAATTATTCAGGGTTAATTCTAATTCAGGGTTCGAAACATCCTCATCAACACTATCATTCTGTATGTACGAATTGGCAAAGAATCCGGAAATCCAAGAAAAAGTACACGAAGAAATCGATCGAGTCTTAGCTCAGCATGGAGGGAAGGTGACTTATGATTCGGTTACAGAGATGAAGTATTTGGAAAACTGTATTGATGGTATGATATGAACGATATTTCGCATTTTCTAAAATTGGTTAAACGATTATTTTCACATTTTCGTTGCAGAAACATTACGAAAATTTATTGTTGCTGTGATGTTGACTCGAACATGTGTGAAAACATACAAAATACCCGGAACAGATAAAATCATTGAGAAAGGTGTTGAAGTGATGCTTCCGATATTCTCACTACATCGAGATGAGAAATACTATGAAAATCCAAATAAATTCGATCCGGATCGATTCAATGAAGAGAATTCAGCGGGAAAAAATTATTTGAATCGACCCTACTATCCGTTTGGGGATGGTCCCCGAAATTGCATTGGCATGAGACTCGGGAAAATGCAAGTTAAAGTCGGTCTAATCATGATGTTGCAGAAATACAAATTCGAATTGGAGGACCGACTCAAAAATGAAGAACTAAGAATAGATCCCACATCTTTTCTGCTCTCTCCTTTTGGTGGTATAAAGCTTCATGTATCTGAAAAGTAGTATATGAGTAGATTAGAAATAAAAGTAATAATAGCCCAACTCTTGTTCTCAGTATGTTCTTGATGAGAAACCACTTTTTGAGTAGTCCTACTTGGTCCTACTACTAATGATTTTTGGCAATTCTATTTTTGGTCTCTTTTAGCAAATATACTTTATTTTTTGTGAATTCAGTACAAAAACTTATTTTATTTTTTAGCACTATGTTACATATGAAATTTGATATTGTTTGGCTTATTTATTCAAATGATTTTATTTCAATAAAAATGCCTATGGTGAAAACTAATAAAATATGTAAAAAAAATCCAACAAGAAGACAAACAAGAGATTTTAATAGTATTGGTGCTACAAAAATAAACGAACAGCGCACGAAGCTTTCACAATACAATAAATATCACAACAAACACACATCGCTAGTCAGTATTGAATGGACGCTGACAGTGATGCAACACGTTTTTAATCAAAGTGGACTTGAAAGAAAGTAGGTGTAGTTCAACGAAGTGAGAATGTCGTCAATATTGATCGCAATATCTCTCTTGGTCACTTTAATTGCGACTGCATATCTATACGTGAAAAATGCATATTTGTATTGGAAACACAAAGGAGTTCCTTTCAAATCGCCAACATTTCCATTCGGAATTTTTTCAGACTCATCACTTCAAAAGAAATCAGCCAGTGAAAAGCTCGAAGAATTATATAACAGTACAACCGAACCAGTGATTGGAATATATTTGGCTTTACAACCGGCTCTATTGGTTCATGATCATAAAAGATATTTGTGTGAAAAGTTTTCAGAATTTCAGTCATCGCTTATTGTATAGTAATGTGAGGGCCGATCCAATAGCCGATAATATTTTATTGCAAAAAGTTGAAAAATGGAAACGTGCACGAACTCAAGTCTCTCCGGCTTTTTCGCCGATAAAATTGAAAGGAATGTTTGATACAATAGTAAATTGTGGAAATCATTTCATCAGCTTTTGGCATCAATATAGACTGTATTAAAAATCCTGATTGCGAATTTCGACGATATGGCAAAAGATTTTTCGAACCAACGGTTAAAAATACAATACGAACTAATGTAAACATTATGATGCCAAAACTTTGGAAGTTGTTACGCTTGAGATGAGTTGATACGGATGTTGGTGATTTTTTAATTGAAACTGTACGAAAAAATGCGGAATATCGTGAGAAGAACAATGTAGTACGTAAGGATGTATTCCGATTATTGATGCAGTTAAGAAATACTGGAAAAGTTGGCGATGATGATGATTGGTCGACTAAATCGAATTCTAACAAAAAAGCTTTGACTGTTGAAGAAATCGCTGCGCATTCATTGATATTTTTTATTGAAGGGTATGAATCAACTATGTCATTTTGTCTATATGAATTGGCTTAACATCCAGAAATTCAACAAAAGGTGTACGAAGAAATTATTGGGAGCCTTGAAAAACACGATGGAAAATTAACATACGATTCAGTTGCTGATATGAAATATTTGGACTGCTGTTTTAGTGGTAAGATTATTAATCTCCGATAATCATGTGATCTGTATTGCCCTTGTAATCTTTATCATTACTGACATTTTGTAGTGTTAAATCATTTCTTTGTGGGTTTTTTATGCATTTTTTACTTTCACAGAGTCAATGAGATTGCATCCACCATTTTCGGCTAGTAACAGACAATGTAC